AGGCCCATTGCCCCTGTCCCTCACACCAGCTCAGCAACCATGCAACAGTGGACAGGTAGAAAAACAGAGGTCCACCAAGGGTCAGGCTAGAGGTTGCTGCATCCACACTCAGCATGCTGGCAGCTCAAGCCCTTGTGGCCTCCCATAGTGTCCTTGCTGTAGCCACACTCAATAGTATCTCAGCTCCCCTGGAATCCTGGGAGACCACCCCACCCCCACCCTTGTCCACTCTGCTGACAAGAGATGTGGTCACATGGCAACGACCAGCTTGACTCTTGTATTTGGAAGGAGGAAAACACCCAGGTTCTGGAAAAGGATAGTGATAAGGATGGCATGGCAGGAGAAATGTAATGATGTCACTACGTTGTAAACGTGGCAGCTGTGTCTGCAAACGTTCTGGTGTGTGTTTTCACCATAGCAGAAAAAGAGGGAAAGAGTAAACGCAAAAGCAAATTTAGGGGAGCCCTCAGGGCTGGGTGAGTCTGTGTAGGATCTAGACTTGTGTGTGGAAGCTGAAGGCCTGGTGTGGGCAGGGCCCTGACCCCCGACTACTGGGTCTACACCCCACATGGATGCTCCCAGAAAGCAGCAGGTAGTTTGCGAGTAAGGGGCTTCCAGAAGGGCAGGCAGGCTGAGAAGCAAGGAGCAGGAGGGCCAGCTGGCTCAGGGTCTCGCTCATGGAGAGCCTGAGTACAGCCCTGGGGCTACCCAAACTGTTACCCACACCCAGACCTGACCATCTGCCTATACAGGAGACAGACCCATCGGGGAAACAGGCCAGGCAGGTGTGGGAGGAGTCCCTGAAATTCAGTTATGAGTGGATAGTGTCATGGTGCTATATTTAAAAAAAAAAAAAAAAAAAGCCCTGATCTGTTCAAAGCAACAGCTGCAGTCAGCAGACTCGGACTCAGACAACCCCAGGTGCATCACTGTAGAACTGTGTTCCATAGAGTTTTCAATGGCTGAGTTTTGGAAGTAGATCACCAGGCCTTTCTTCCAATGTGCCTCCAGGTGGCCTTGAACCGCCAACTGTCTGATTCACCATTTGAATCACGCAGTAGATGGTATAAACCAGGGTGACCCTCTACCTTCTGTGAGTTCCCTTCTCTCTCCCTCCCCACTCAGTTTGTGTAATTAAATGTGTGCAGTGTCCCAGGGCTTGGGTAGGTCAGGTGATTATGGGTTGGAATACACTAACCAATGGGCCCTCACGTGGGGGCACTTTTGTCCCCAGGAGACACTCAGCAATGTTTGGAAGCATCTGTGGTTGTCACAGCTGAGGCACTTTTGGGTGGACTTGAGCCACCAATCTTTCAGTACGTAGGTGACCGCATTAACCACTGCACCACACAGGGGCTCCCCCTTACTATTAGGGATTAAAAAAGTGGAGGACACAAACAGGAGATCTGCAAAAAGGAAAATCCTCTAAACATTTGAGCATCAGAGTTTCAACTCGACCCTGAAGAAGAGAAAGGGCATGACGACCCTGCCAGTCTAACAACACTCAGAGGGTCCTGCCCTGGCCCACACAAGGATAGGTAACGTCAGAGGTCTGCCAATCCTGGGAATGGAATGAGGAGGTCTCCTGCTGCTGGTTCATGTCCCCCATGCATCTGACAACTTTGATGGTAACAGAGAAAAACGCTAAGGGACTGTGGGATCCCACAGAACCCCCTCACGTCTCCCTCCCAACCCCAGTCCCTCTGACCCCGCACCTGAGTGATGGGTGACAGTGGGGACAGGGTGGGTGGCACCTGCTGGGCCTGCGGCCGTCTGGCATCCGTGCTCAAAGACAGGGGGCCGACGCCTGGCTGGTGGTGCTGTGGTGAGGAGCCTGGCGTGGTCATTCCTGGAAGGGAGGGAGGTAGGGTGGGTTCGACCTCCAACCTTGGGGACCCCACCTCCCCATGCTGATAAACATACCCCAGCAAGACCTGTCCATCATCTGCTCCTCCACGCTGGCCCCTCCCACTGCCAACTGCAGGAGGGGCATGTCATGCAGGCCTGGCCAGTCAAAGTTTCCTCACTTCTGGGCTGCATAATTGGCCCAGGATAGGCATGTGACCATGCTGGCCCAATGAAAGCCTGCTCTGGCACTTCTGATGGACCTCTAGGAAGAGAAGTCTGGGGCTATGGAGGAGGGGGGCATTCTTGTGACCACAGGCAAAGAACCTGCTGGAGGTTATTTGGGATGGGGATGGTTCTTAGGGGCCAGGAGATGGGAAGACAGCAGGTAGCCCTGGGTCCAACTACTCTGGGCACTTCCTGGTTTGGGGAGACAAAAAAGCCCCACTTTTGTTTGAACCCATGTGGATTCTGGTTAGCTACAATTGGGTCAGCCCTGCCTAACACTGTGGGTTCCCTTATCATTTCCACCCTCCCTCAGTCAATGTGTCCACTCCTGTCACCTCTTGTCCACATCTACCCCTTACCCCACACACACACCCTCTGTGGTTGGGGTGCCGCCCCCACCCTCAAACCAAAAACCCAGCTTTCTCTTCCTTCTGCTGTACCTGCCCTAAGACTCAACGTATTCACCCCTGCTGAGGTCTGCTCTCCCTTACCCACCCTGCCCCACTCCTTTATCCCAGGTGGCCAGGTCCCCTGGGCATGTCCATGGTGGAGGGGTCTGTGGGTGAACCCAGGGTGCTGGGGCCTGTGCTGCAACACTGTGGGCAATCTAACGGCTTTCCCTGTCTGCCCTCTGGCCCCCTAGTGGTGAGGGCAGTCACCCTACTGTGGTCACATGAGGTCCTAGTGAGATCCATGAGCAGGTTCTGAGGGAGCCTGGCCCCCAGTCAAAGCTGACAAAGCTGCCTGAGTCATCCAGAGAGTTCCAGAACCATATGAGTGAGGGCAGCAGCATCAACCTCAGCCCACAGAGGAGATGAGGATTGTCTGGGTGGGGCCAGGCTTGCTCTCCCCATGGCCTGAGAGGATGCTTCCAGGGAGCGTCAAGCAGAGGGGACAGCAGCTTTCCCTCCCTGTGTCTGTCTGTCTCTCCTTCTCTGTCTCCCTTCCTTCCTTTCTTATCTCCATCTCTCCTTCTCGATCTCTCTCTCCTCTTCTCTGTCTCTGCCTCTCAATCTGTCTCTGATCTTCCCTTTCTCCCTCCTCTTTGCCCTCTTCCTCCCTGTCTCCAGCCTCCCCACATCTGCCCACGGCAGCTGCTCCTAGGCCCAGGCCACATCATAGAGCAAGCAAACTCGGTCACGCCTGCACTCCCCCCGGGATGTCCTGGCAGGTCCACGTGGCCCAGGAGGGCAGGAAGGCCTGGCAGCAATGGCTACTGCAGCTGAGCCCTGAGGGCTAGTTTCTGCACAGACACAGTGATGCTGGGGGCTTTTAAAGACACCTGGGCCAAGAGCCCAGAGCCACCCCTGGAGCACCAGACAAGGAGTCAGCCAGACTGAACTGTGGGCCTAGTGTCACTCATTCTGAGTTCCCATGCCCTGGGGCCCAGAAGCTGAGTGGCTTCTATGCCCAGGTAGGATGTAGGTGTCAGTACCTGACAGGAGGCAGAGCTGGGGTAGGGAAGGCAAACCTGAATGCTAGTATGAGTCAGGGGCAAGACACAGGCAACAGGGACAGATGGGGCCTATGGCTAAATGGCAATTTCCAGCCCTGTCTCAGGCCCAGGATTGTGGGCCCAGTGTTGCTGGGTGTCCTGATTCTCTAAGAGGGTCCAGAGATCCAGCTGTTTGCATGCCCGCTCCTGACTGTGATGTCAGTTCAAATACTATCACATACATGTGCATGGACCCATGTGCACACTCACACATTTATAACGTATTCACATACACTCAGACACATGCACACTCACACATAGCACATACCCTCACATGTTCACACATGTATGCACAGACATGCACACACACATGCATGCTCATGTTCACATAGACACACACTCTCTCACACTGGGATTCGGCCTTCACGGCCAATCAGTAATGCCTGCCCTGAATGCAGGGAGGGTTCATCTTTGCACCTGGCCTTGCACCTACCATAGGCCACTGTGTAAGCAGGCATCTGGGCTTTGAGTTCCTGTTTGTCAGCCTAGTCCACCTTTGGGAAAAGGGACCGGAGCCAGGTGGAAGGCTGCCTGGATAGGCAGGACAGCCGCCAAGTCAGGGCTGTCCTGGGGCATGCACACTATCATGGGGGACCCAGCATCCTTGTTACCCTGAATGTATAGTGTGTTAGAGTGACTGCCTTAGAGGCTCAGGGCTCTTTCCCCTCACGGGGCCCATCTGGACAGGTGGGAGGCTGGGGGGCTGATCCCATCAGGGCTGGGAGCTCCAGCTTGATTTAAAACAGAAAGCGACGCCCCTGCCCAGCAGCTGCCGGAGCCACACAAATGGCCACACACGTGGGACACTCTGGTCTGAGCTCCGGCTCCACATGCATTCCTGCACCCCGGGGTCTCACATGTGCCCTATTAGCTGAGCTTCTTTGGACTCAGTTTGTCAGATGTGTAGATTCCTGAGATGGCAGGAGCTGAGGGGCTGCTGAGAGCCCTGAGCAGGGTGGTCTGAAGGCTATAGACAGCTATGTCGGCACGAAGACAGAGATGTCTCTCTCTGACTCCTGCTCCACCCTGATGCGTATCCGCCCGCTGTGTTTCAGAGCTCCCTGGGCAGGCAGTGTCCCCACTCATGGCTGAGCCCAGTGGAAGCGACAACAAAGCTTGGACACTGCCTGGCTAGGACGAGCTCAGGCTCCGTGTCTGAGCTGTTCTCACCTCCAGCCCTTGCTGTTAAAGTCTGAAAAGTTCCCAGTGTCCTCAACACCCCTCACTGCCCGGCCCTGTCACCACCCAAACCCACAGAGATCAGATTCCTCGCTCCAAGCTGGCACAAGGCCAATTAATCTGACTGCCAAATTCAAACTTGAGCAAAAGGGTCCCTCACTGGAGCCCTGCTGGCACTGCCCACCATTTATTGTTGTCTGAGTCAAGCTGGCTCCGACTCACAGTGACCCCATGTACAAGAGAACAAAACGCTGCCCGGCTCTGTGCCATCCTTATGAGCATCTGTCTGCGTGAGTCCGTTGTTGAGACCACTGCATGTTCTGAGTGCCTTCCAATCCAGGAGGTTCAACTTCCAGCACTCTGCGGGACCATGTTCTGTTGTGATCCACACAGTTTTAATTGATTTTTGGAAGTAGATCACCAGGTCTTTTTTCCTAGTCTTAGTCTGGAAGCTCCAATGAAACTTATTCAGCATCAGCAACACTCACTGAAGGTCTTTCCTTACCCTCACCGTTCCTCTCCTTCACCAAACATGACATCCTCCTCCATCGATGGATCCCTCCCAATGATAAGCCCAAAGCAAGCAAGTCGGACAATGGTCTGTTGAGATCCATAAGGTTTTCACTGGCTGATGACTGAAAGCAGATCACCGGCCTTTCTTCCTAGTCTGTCTTAGTCTGGAAGCTCCACTGAAACCTGCCCACTATGGGTGAACCTGCTGGTATCTGAAGTACCAATGGCATAGCTTCCAGCATCACACTACCTCACAAGCCATCCCAGTATGACAGACAGAGGGTAGTGGTGCCCACCACTGTTGATGAGGGAATGGGCAGGTGTCCATCTGTCCTGAGGCTCTGTGGGCAAGGCTCTGTGTCTTCTCTTATAGCTGTGTCTCCAGTGCCAGCTCTGGGTCCTCATGGCACAAAAAGAGCCTACCATCCCCTGGGCCTCTCCCTGCAGCCTGTCTGGCCTGTTCCCACCTCTCTCTATAAGCCAGATGCCTGCATCCCCCAGGACACAACCTCATACACTTCACGATAAGTGCTATGCAAGGGCCACAGAGGGGAACTTGTGAGGAGGAGGCTGTCCAGGTGCAGGGAGAAACGAGAAGCAAAACTGAGGCGTCAACAGCCTTGAGGGCAGAGGTCGGGGGCACAGGTTGGGCCTGAGAGGTGGGGTCTGGGCAAGGCAGGAGGGGGTAGGATTGAGCCCTGTGGTGGGATTGTGCAGAGGCCCTGGGGCGGTTTGGTGGAGAGGGCTGAGTTTAGGGGTAGCAGGTGGACGGTAGCCAGGTGGTGCAACCACTCAGAGGGAATCCAGGGTCCTGAGCTGAGGAAGACATGAGCTGCACACCCTTCTGGGCAGAGGCGCGGCCAGGGCCTGAGGATGCCACGCAGGGTTGGAGGTCCAAGTTGGGCCGATAGAGAACAAAGGTGGCACATAGGACGCTGGGTGAAAACCCTTGAGGTCTCCCATTCTGCAACACTGTGGGTTCACCCAGCCTCTCTCTGAAGTCCTCACCCCAAGTACCTCCAGAACCCATCCAGCCCCTGAGATTACACCAAGAACTGACTCTTTCTCAGATGTCCCCTCTGTTTGGGATGACCCCCCAGGGCAGCCTGGTCACTCTGAGCTTCCCTGGGGAAGTTCCCTCCTTACAGGCCCCCCAGGCCTCTGGCACTTGGATGTGGCTCCTGCAGCCACGACTTATACACAGGCCATTCTCACCTGGGGCCCAGCTCATCAAGGAGGAGGCCCCTTCCCCCAACACCATGGCCTGTATCTGACCTTACCTTGGGGTGCACCGCTGAGACCCAGGTGTGTCAGGTTGGCCGCGAGGTTGCCAGTGCTGCTGGAGCTGCTCAGGGCGGGGAAGGGGGGCTCCTCAGGGTCCAGCGGGGTGGGCAGTGGTGAGGGGAAATGGATGTTGGTCAGGTCGGGCAGTGAGCCCCCTGTGTTATGGGTGGCAGGGATCAGGGTGGTTGTGGTTTCCTGGTCGGCAGACGGGAAAATGCTAGAGGTGAAGGCAGAGAGATGCTGGTGAGTGCTGGGTGGTGGTGGGGGAATGGCAACCATTCTCTCTCAGGGGCCACAGAGGGCATAAGGGGGCCCCTCAACCTGCACCTCAGAAGGCCCCAGGTGAGTGTGACTCTTGAGAGGCTAGGGTAGGCAGCCTGCCCAGGTGGGTGTGTTGAGGGTTGAGGGGGGGGGCTGCCACCTGGGCGGCTCACTGAGGGGCTCTCTGGGTGGTCATCTGCAGCTCAGCATTCCTCCTGCTGGGACTTACAGCCTCACATACAAGCAGAAAATTCTGGGCCCCCTGAGCAGCCCCAAGGGGGATGTGGATGTAAGAGACTCACTTGATTCCAGGAACCTCGCAGGACTTAGGCCTAGACCCCGTCTGAAAGAGAAGGCAGCACAGGCTAAGACAGCACTGGGGGTGGAGGGCAGCCTTCCCATGCATACTGCGCTTCCTCACAGCATGACCACTTCCTATAAGGCCCAGGGATGGTGAGTGGTGCCAAGCTTTGCAGATGTCAGAGTCGCAGAGATGAAGAATCCCGGCCCCCCACCCACCAGGCAAGGGGCTTGCCCGACACAGCACAGGGATCAGATCACCCTACACAGCCCCCTCCCCCACTCCAGCTCTGCATGTGTCTGTCTGCCTGGCACCCATGGGGGCTGTGGCAGTCTCTGGAGAGGGACTTGGGCCCTAAGTCCATGCAAGGTCTAGTGAGCCCTAGCAGTTTAGAGGGTACTGCTCTACAAGGAGTCCCTGTGGCACAAATGATTAAACACTCAACTACTCGCCAAGAGATTAGTGCTTCAAACCCAGCCAGAGCCACCTCAGAAGAAAGGCCTGGCAATGTGCTCCTAAAAGGTCACAGCCTTGAATACTCTACGAAGCAGTCCTGCCTCTGCACACACGGGGTCGCCAAGAGCCAGAATCATTCAACAATAACAACAAAGCTTGCCCACATGTTGCCCTGACTCCCCATGGTGCCCCAGAAGTTCGACTCCCACCTGGGACCCCTGGCCCTTCCCCAAAATTGCCATTGGGACCCTGCAGAGGCTGCACTGTCCTTCAACAACCAGTTCCATTTAACGGCCTGGTTGGGGACACTGTTGGAACACAGTGTCTGTGAGGAGAGGCCCAAGGCCTATGGGGCACAGCCACACACACAGCAGGACGTCCCAGCATAGGAGCCTGCCCACTCCAGCCTGTGTCTCAGACCAGGCCGCCCCCTCCAGTTCAGCAGCAGGATCCATGAGGCTTTGAGTATGGAGCCAGGTGGAAAGCATTTCCTCCCCACTTCGGAGTTCTGGACTCGGATGGAGGATTCATCAATATAATCACAATAAACATATTCCAGGGAGCTCCCTGGGACCCAGCCTCGGGAGCAGGGTGCCTCCCCCATACACCCTGTACTCCCAGCTACCCTATGCACTTGCCCCAAGAAGGGGCCTCCTGGGTTGCTCCTCTGTTAACTGGGGACACAAACGGGTTAAGGAGGGTTGACGGGACCCTGAGAGGGTCAGTGGAACCCCAGGAAGGCTGAAGGAAGGTAGAGGAAGTGTAGCTCCAGGCAGGGAATCATCATTCCTATTCGAGGACAAAGGATAGAGCCCTCTTCAGGCTGAGACAAGACAGGACAGAGTCCTGTCTGCTCTTGAGGGCCCCAAAAGTGCCCTGTGTCCTGCCCCACCCCCCATCCACCAGCTGATGTGTTCTTTAGGGATTATGCAAGAAAACGGTGACCTGTTGCCGGGGCTGGGCCCGCCCTCAACACCCCATGGAGGGAGCCTTGCCTGGCTACCATGATTAGGGAACCTGTGGGGTGGTATAAGACCAGCGGGCCCAGCACTGTGCAGGATGCTGAGGGACAAGTCTGTGCTTGGCCGGGGCCTCCTAATGCCCTAAGTCAACACTCACTTCATTATGGGATTTCCACAAAGCCCACTCACAATGGGTCTCTACAAGAGCATTTCAAAAGAATCCCACAAAGGCTACAGATATAAATGGATTTCTAAACAGATTAAAAACTCGCCCATGCCCGCCCCACTCCCAACGAATCAGACTAGATTTATTTAGGACATCCTTGTAGACACGTAGTTTATGGGGCATAAGCTTCGCCAGGTGCTGGCTCTGCCCTCCTTCCAGTCTCTTTCTGGCAGGTTATCCACCACCCTAGAGTCTCTGTGGTTCAAACAGTGAGGTGCTCAGCTGTGAGCTGAAAGGTTAGAGGTCTGAGTCCGCCCACAGGTACTTCAGAAGAAAGGCCTGGTGATCAGCTTCTGAAAAAGTAGCCACTGACAACCCTATGGAGGACAGTTCTACTCTCGACATGTGTGGGGTCGATATATCAGGGCCAACTGGACAGTAACTGGTCCCCACCCTTGCTTCACTGAGCTCATACATTCTCTGCTTCCCTCAGCGAATGCCTAGCCTTTCAGAAGCAGATTGCCAGCTTTTCTTCTGAGGATCCTCTGGGAGGTCTTGAACTGCCAACTTTTCAGTCAGCAGCTGATCACCACCAGGGACTCCACCCTCTGGTGGCATAGTGCCTAAGGCACTTGATTGCTAACCAGAAGGCTGGTGGTTCAAACCCACAAGCCACTCCTTGGAAGGAAGGTTGGGTGATCTACTTCCGTAGAGATATCACCTCAGAAATCCAAGGAGGGGTCACTATGAGTCAGGACCGACTCGATGACAGTGAGATATTTTTTTTTTAAGGACTCCGAGGAGGCTTGCAGTTCATGTTAAATAAACATAAGCATGGTCAGAATCTGGTGGTCGTATTTCGGGGACTCTGAGGACCCCCCCCCCAAAGTGCCATTCCTGGGATTTTCCCTCAAAAGCACAAGAAGAAAACTCACTCACAAAAGCTCTGAGGTGCTTACCTTCTTCGTGTCCCACGTTTGCTTTGAAAGGTTTTTGTCTACTTCTGATGAGGTCTCCTCCATTCCTGGGACCGTTAATAGTAAAACTAAGGCAGAAGGGAAATGGGGAGCGGAAAATCAGAAAGGAAATCTCTTCCCAGCAATGGGGGCACCAGGGGGCCCTCCCTCAACAGGCCTGCCACGTTGTCACTGCCCTAACATCTGCGAACTGTTTAGAGCTACAAACAAGGGCTTTGTAAAAACAAAAATAAATTAAGTCAGAGGACCTGTGTCTAAAACAGAAATGAAAACTAAAACCGTAAGGTCTGAGAGCTGCATCTACTCTGCCCCTGAACAGACCCAGCCTGGGCATCTCCCACCTCCTCCTTTACCCCCTGAACACCTAGGCTGTAGCCCCAGCACCAAGCACCAGGGCTCAATCCATGTCACCCAGTTGGCTGAGGCTGGGGTGACCGTGCTGTGTCTGCGGTGACTCCATGGGTCAGCCAGAAGGCTGGCTGGGCCCCAGAAGAGAGGGGCAGGGATGGGGGCAGTGCAGGCACTAGACGGGCCTCATTCATGGCCCTGAGCCCTGCTGGTCCTTCTCTTCCTCAGTCCTTTCAGTTACAGTGATTACAACACTGCCTGTCCTGTTCATGTGGCTGGAGGCTGGGTTTCTTCACTGGTTACCATGTTACCACGAACCCACCCAGGTGGCAAAGTCCTCCTCCTGACAACCCGGGTGGAGACAGCCAGGCCATTTGACCCTGCTCCGCCCATCCCTCTGCCAGAGAAGCAGGGGCAGGTGAGGTATTCCCCCTCCAGGCCCCTCAGACTTACTCCCTTCCATGGTCACACTGCCCACCCACCTGGCTCCGCATTCTTGGGGGACCTACCAGGATGACCAGACTCAGAACTGCCAGGACACTGAATGGGGAGGAGCCTGGATAGTTGGAGCCTCCCTTATTGTGAGAATGCTTCCTCCTGCATCCTGGTCCCAGGTTGGCCAGGGCTCCAGGGGAGGCAGGGGGCGGGGAAAGCTGCTAGGAGATGACAATTTCTGTCCACAATCCTACTATCAGCAAAATTTCCAGGGACATTTGTATATCCACCATGAAATGTTCCAAGGCCAACATGCTCTGAGCCTGAAACTAGACTGAATCCTGTGGGGCCTGTGTCTTGGGGTAGACTGTGTGCCACATGGGGTTGGCTGGGCCAGCCTCACAGCATCTGCCCTCTTTGCTCTGGGGGATGCTGCCCTAGTTTTTAGGATGGCATCTACTTTCCTTGAAGGTCTCATGGACACCACTTCCATGCCCAGCTCCAGTGGGGACAGGCTGAGGGCCTGGATGATGGGCACAGACCCACTTCACCTGCATGGAGAACAGGTTCTCTGTGCAAAGAGAGTTGGGGAAGAGACAAATTGTCTTCTGCCTGCCTGCTGGAACGCTGGAAGGGCTGGCCCAAGAGCTGTGGGCAAGGCAGCCTAAGGACGGAGCCATCCCAAAAGCAGTAGGGCCAAGAAATGGGCACCGATCACAACAGTACAGTGTTAGTACCTGGATCAAGATGTACCTGAAGCTGTCAGGCTAGCTCTGGGCTTGCTTTGTCATGAGACATAATACCCCTGTTGCTTGGGCTTGCTGTCCCTTACAGCCAAAGGAATCTAAATGTGTATCATGTGTACACGCTAAGAACTCAAGAACAAAAGTCTCTAAGTTTGCAAGAGCTGGTTTTTCCACCTAGAAGATTCCTATGCATCCTTCAAAACCCAGACTCAAGAAGCACCATCTCTCTCAAAGCATCCTGTCCTCTCTCCTTGTTCCCAGTGAGTCTTCCACCCACAGGCTTGCAGACTCCTGGAGGCAGGGGCCATATGCTAGGTTTGCCCAACCTGAGGAGTAAACTCACACATGTCGCATACCTCTTTTCTGGTGTGTGTCCTGTGACCCACCCGTGAAGGAGTCTGGTGGGGTGGGTGTCATTGTGCTCTGGTGCAGGGCGGAGTCAGAATTGGTCCTGAGGGGAGAAAGAGACAGTGTCCCCACTGGGGACATGCCCAGCAGAGACTGTTCAACCACGAGATGGGGCTGACTTTGTGGGTCGCTGTTTTATTGCTGCCCCTGACAGAAACCCTAAAGAGACTGCTTTGCAAAGCCACACAGGTGATCATGGTTCCCTCTGCAAAGCCATTAATGTCCCTCAGTCTCTTCTGTTTTCTCCACTTCAGGCACATATGATGCCTTCCCACAAGGACCCCCCAGAGAAGAGGCAGGATGCTCCCTCAGAAGCTCAACCTCAGAGGTACAAGCCCTCTGCCTGTCCTGGGGCCCCTCCTGGTGACTCCACCCTCCAGGACACTCAGGTATTGAACCAGGTGTGATAGGCAGGGAGGAAGCCAGTGACACACGTGTGGGAGAAGACCTCAGAAGAAATATAGCCTTTTGGGATCTCTAAGGTGTGGGAGTCAGCCTGCTGGGAGAGATCTTGGCCCTCTATACTGGGGATCCAATTTCTGGGGATGGATTACAGACATCAGGACAGGACACCCCCCAAATGCAGGCATCTTGAGGGTTGGTCCCCGGAGAGGCTCTGGCAAAACGGAGATGTCCCATGGGGAACTGGGCCACATGAGCAAAGGCCTGGACAGACTTTGCAGATGGCAATTTGGGGACAGTAGAAGTCACATGTACCTGGGGCATGAGGATGGCACAGCCACTGAGCATCATGGTGCAGGAGACACAGTTCAAGGGGACAAGCAGTTTACAAGGATGGGACTGGTGGCTCCTGACCACAGGCTGGGCAGGCAGGGAGGGGCCAAGTTAGGGCCCTGGCCCACCACCAACTTTGTCCTTGAGCAAGTGTCCTGACCTCTCTGGGCTCAATTTCCATTATGTCTGAACAAAGGATGAAAACAGCAGCTACTGCCTGCAGCTCTTGTACATTTTCTCTAACCTGTATGATGGCTGGAACCAGGCCTGGCATATAAGTGCTTGGGAGGTAACAAATAACAGTTGTTGTCGAGCTGACCCTGAATCATGGTAACCCCCTATGTGTCACAGTGGAACTGTGCTCCAAAGTGTTTTCAATTCTGATTTTTCAAAAGGAGGTCGTCAGGCCTTTCTTCTGAGGCACCTCTGGAGAGACTCAAAGCCCCAACCTTTCAGTTAGTAGCTGAGTGCTCAACCGTTTGCACCACCCAGGGATTCCACTTTGTAGCTATTTGCCTGTATTATTTTATGTTAGACTTTTCTAGATGATGGTATTATGGGTGATCATTTTTTTCTTGTTTGCGTCTATTTACATGTTTTTCCAATTCTCTATAATAAAAGTACAAGACATATACATCTGTGTTCTTTCTTTCTTTCTTTTTTTTTTTACCTCCCCTCCTCTCCCATCCCTGGGAACCAACAAAGTAAGTTTCCTTCCATAGGTAAAACTCTCCTTGACTCTTTATAATAATGGACTAACACAATATTTGTTCTCTATGACCACCTTATCTCACTCAGCATAATGTCCTCCAAGTTAATACACATCACACAAGTCTATTTTTGACAACTAAAAATGTACAATCCCTGGGTGGGAGCTCTGGTAGCGTAGTACCTAAGGCATTTGACTGCTAACCAGAAGGCTGGCAGTTCAAACTCACCAGCCACTCCTCAGAAAGAAGATTGAGCGATCTACTTCTGTAGAGATAAAACCAAAAAAAAAAAAAACCACCCAAACTCACTGCTGTCAAGTCAGATCTGACTCCTAGTGACCCCTTCTTGGGTTTCTGAGGTGGTATCATTGTAAAAGTAGATGGCCCCACTCTTCTTCTGAGGAGGGGAGACACCTCCTCCGAAAGCCAAGGAGGGGTCACTAGGAGTCGGATTCAACTTGACAGCAATGAGTTTTTTTGTTTGTTTGTTTGTTTTGAGTGAGGGTGGAGTAAATGGTTAACTGTTCAACTACAAGCAGAAAGGTTGGTGGTTCAAACTCAACCACAAACATCTTAGAAGTAAGGCCTGGCGATCTGCTTTTGAAAGGTCGCAGCCTTAAAAACTCTATGGAGCAGTTCTAATCTGCATACATGGGGCTGCCATGAGTTGGAATCAACTCCTAAGGCAACTAACAACAATGTGGGCAACTGCTCAGAACACAGTACTGTGTGAAAAAGTCACAGAACTGAATTTGCACTACCGTCTCAATTTCTTTTTTTTTTTTTTTAAAAAAGAAAGGTAGGTCACAAAGAGAGGGGGAAAACTCTGGAAAGCACCAAAGCCATGAAGTCTGTGTTTCAGGGCCAGGGCTGACTTCTAGAAGCTTCCAGCTGCTTCTGTGTTCATTTTCTTAGCCTGCCGGGGATGAGAATATGCTGTCTCAGATAGAGGACTTGTGCTGCCTGCGCACTCACCTTCTCCAGCTGCTGTCTGCTGGCGGCGAGAGATACACGGTGCCGTAGGGACAGCTGTCCACGTACGCCGAGTTAAGGGACAGCACTGTGGCTCAGCCCCCAGCCCCAATGTAGCCCACCTGGAGCACATGTGCAAGGGGCAGGCATTGGACTCAGGCTCTGGAGTGGGGCACAGCAGGCCAGGCATTTGTGGTGCCTCTTGAGGCCACTCCTGCCTGGCTGTGTGTGGCTCCCTGAGGGACACCTGTGACCCCAGCACTCAGCACTGCTTCTTGCCTCGGCCATGGACCTGAGTTCAGCCGACCTCTGTCAGAGCCTTTGTGCTGGACTGATGGTCAACTCTGAGGGTCAGGGCCTCAACTGGTCAAGCTCCCCCAGCCCTTAGAAATGAACACCCAGGGAAGGAGGGCTTCTCTGTTTTTGGGGGCTGGGCATTCTGGGAGCTCCCCATAGCCATTCCAATTCTGGTAATCAGGGTAGAAAGGGAGGGCCCAGCAGCTGAGGTGGAGGGTGAAAGCTTGCTCATGAGCTACTGAGATGGAGTCCCCTTCTGACCACTTTGGGATGCACTCGGTTCCCAGAGCTCCACCCCTCAGGGCTAGCCCCTGTGCCAGCCTCTCAAGGGAGCTCAAAGCCTTCCAGGGAGCCCCCGCTTCCCAGCAGCAGTCTGTGCTCTTTGTGGCCTCATCTGCCCTAACTCCTGCTTCTATGTCCCCTGGGCCCCCACTGTGATCTCCAAAGGTTCCTCTGCTTGTGGTGCTACATCATCCAGGAAGCCCTCCCAGATGTCCCACGATGCCTGGAAACTCTGAAGAGCAAAGGCTGCCTCATTATGCCCCCAGCATTCCTGGTGGTCACCCTCAGGGCCCACGCCCCTCCTCTTATCCTATTAGAAAGGATATCTGCCGCCCATGCTTGTCTACTGACAGGGGTCGGCGGTGCGGGGAGCCGAGCCGGCCGCGCTCCCGGCACACTCTGTCTACCAGCCCATGGTGCCGGGTGGTCCGGCTGGTGTCCAGGCCCGAGGACTGGAAGGGGGTCTGGGGGCAGGGTAGGCAAGGGAGGGGAGGAGGGAAGAGAGAAACCACAAACATCAGTTACCAGGTGCAGGAGAGTCAGTGGCCTCCCAACCCCAGGCACAGATCTGGGAGTCTCCATGCCAGGCCTCTCCCAGGACTCTGGTCCTCAGGGGTTCCTGTGATACCCTCAGTCCCACTCTGCAGCCAGGCCAGCTCCCTCTCCAACAGGTCCCTCTGCCCTCTGGTGCTCCAGGAGGGGTTGGTGAGTGGCTGGGCAGGGTGGGCACATGCTGGAGGGAGGTGGCACCAACTCAGGGCCAAGGCTAGTATGAGGTTCAGCAGGCCCCTCCCCCATGCCAGGTGCAGGCAGCCCTGTCCCCATTCAGCAGCTTCTTCTCCCCACACCATCCCTGAAGGGGCTGCCAAGAGGACTGCAGAACCCCAGGATGCCTCCAGGGTCCAGCTGGCATAATCCCAAGAGGCTGTGTGCCAAGTTCAGGGCCAGTTTTGATAAAGACAAGGCACTTCCAGCCCTGCAGACCCCCTGACACCTCCCTGTCTGGCACCACAGGGCCAAGTGGCAGTAATTTCCAGAGCCCAGGCCCACTGCACTGCTGGATGCACAGACAGGGCATCCTCCCACCCCCAGGCCTTGTCCCCACCTGGTCCTCTGCCACCTGGTGCTAGGGGCCAGGGCCATCTGGCTGGGTGGAGAGTGAGGCGGTTTTGGCTGCTCCCCTTGCTGGCCATCTGGCCCCAGGTCCTTTTGCCTGCTCTAAGCAACTGGGCAAAAGAGCTACTCTGACATGAAGTTGTCTCTCCTTTCAGAAGGCAGGTGGCGGTAGGCTGTGGCTCTTCTCCTCTGCACTCTGTTTCCCATTCGTCCTCGGGGCTGACTCACTCTGCTGCCAGGGACTCCCAATTCCCCCTCTCCAGCTCAGGGATCTCCTCTGCATCCAGGACATAGCATTATGGCCCAGAACATGAGGACAGGGGCATGTGTCCCCCCAGGAACACCAGGAGCCAAGTTCAGGAGAAGGTGGGTCCTTGGTTGATTAGGCCCCACAGCAAGGCAGGGTTTGGGGACACAGACATGGACACACATGTGTTTCTGGAACGTCCCCAGGCAACAGGGTGCATACGCTGATGGCAGGAGCGTCGTGCATAGATGGGCATGGAGGACAGACTCTAAGAGTCCTGAGGGAGACCATATGAGTCTTCCAAGCTGGGGGTAAGGAACAGATGCATGTCTGTTCAATGGACAGGGTGGCTCCAGTGAGGCCACAGAGGCGCACATGGGGGCATGCCTAGGCCTGGGGTCTCATTTACCAAAGAGACAGGAGCTGCTACCAGAACCTCCCCTCAAAATCCACGAGGCAAGTGCAAAGAACTCAGCGACACCCTCCAACTCGGGTTCTCAATGTGGCTATCCGCAGGGCCACACTAGGTGTGGTAGCTCTATCTGTGTCAATTTGGCTGGGCCTCGTTCAGTGGCTGGGCAGCTGGTGGTAGTTATTCCTCATGATGAAACTGGCAATCAACTCCATGGTGGGATCTACTACAAGCAGCTGAGTAGCTGCCTTTGGCATGTGGTCTGCTTCCTGTATATAAGGAGAAGCCTTGGGAATGGTCTCTAGCCTATGGCACACATGGACCTTGCATGTAGCCTTGTTGCTCAGCAGCCTGCTATGCTCTGCTGACCTTGGGACTTACAATGGACTTAAGTTAATGACCTGCCGTGTGGTTTGGTAACATCGGGACTGTGCCTTTTTACTTGTCAACCTTGGGGTTTCTCAGCCTCAGCAGCCAGTAGCTGTCTGAGTGAAGAAAGCCTCTAGCTCCAGTGGGCCAGGAGCAGGAGGCAGAGCTGGACCCCAAGGTTGAGGGGCTTTCACCCAGCCCCTAGAGCCTGGCACCTTGAACTTTGACTTAAAGCCTCCAAACTGTAAGAGAATAAACTCCTGTTTGTTAAGGCCATCCCATTTGTGGTATATTCCTGTCAGAGCAGCACTAGGTAACAAGAACACTAGGGATCATGCAGAAAGAGACCATCTTTCCTCTGCAGCTTTGGTGGTGTAGTGCCTAAGGCATCTGGCTGCTAACTAGAAGGCTAGCGGTTCAAATCCACCAGATACTCCTCAGGAGGAAGACTGGGCAATCTACTTCCATAGAGACACTACCTCAGAAACCCAATGAGGGGGTCAGAAATGACTTATAGCATGAGTTTATTTTTTTCCTCTAGAGGGAAGAGGGGACCTAGAGAAATGGAGGAGGAGGAGGAGGAAGAAACCAGAATGCAGGGAAGCGTCTCTGAGGACAGTGCTGGCTCTAAGTCCCCACCCCAGTCCCAGAGCATCCGCATGTTGGCTAGACCAGGAAATTGAAGCACATGTGGACTGGAGCCAAGTTGGCTCCAAGACTGGCCTGGGGTCTGCAGGGGGCGGGGGTGCTGCAAGGCAGTGACCTGAGGCCAGGGGACATCCTTCTGAGGGGACAAAGCTCCTGGATGGCTACTGCCCCTGCCCATCAGCCTAGATGGCTGAACATGCAGACATGGACTGGAACTGTTCTCCAGCAGCAAGGGGGGTGGGTGGCCATTAGTGGGTTGTCCCTATGGAGCTCAGACCCTGGCCAGGGGGGAGGTGGCCCTGACCCAGGAGGCCTGGTTCATTCACTGTCTCCAACCCCATCTCAAACGGGATGCAGGATGGCCCCCCACACTCAAGACCGTGCTGAGGCTGTGCCGCGTGGGCCCCAGCCAGGAAACGTGGCAGAGAAGTGGGGTCAGGCGTTGGGGCTCCCCCTTGGGTCTTGGGCTTGCAGATTAGCCAGGCAAGACTGAGCCAAGCCCAGCAGCCCCCCTCCCACCGCCCAGCAGGTGGAGCGGCTGCTGAACTTGGCGTCCAAGTCCAAGGCCTGCTGACAGGGGGAATGTCAGGGGGCTGCTTCCTCTTGGGGCGGGGGCAGGGTGGCCCGCAATCATCAAGTGACCTCGGCTGTCTGCGCATCCATCAGCTGCTCTCTGGCGGGTGTCAGGGGAGGGGAGGGCCCACCTGGGGGTCTCACCTGGAAGGGTAGGTCCATGCTGCCGCTGCCAATCTGGTTGACGTTCGGCAGGGAGCCGCCATAGTACTGGCCACGGCTTGGGCCCAGCTGCAGGTACTGCGACTTCTGGAGCTGGAGCTGTAAGAGAAAAGCCGGCAGTGGGGGGCCTGGGGGATCCCTCCCCGTGTTCACCCCCCACGGCAAGACGGGGCCACGTAATCTGGGGGGCAGGGACTCCAGGATTTAGTCTCTCAAAGACACCAGCTGTCTCTGCACTGAGAAAGGCGCCCCCGGAAACCTAGAGAGCCCTGGTCCAAGCATGGGAGGGGGTGGCTTTCCTCCTGGCTGACTCAGCGTTTGCAAGTGAGCGTGAGAGCGGACGAGGCCTGGACTGGGGAGCAGTCCTCACGGCTGCCAGGGGCTACAATTGGACACCCAGACCAGACAAGGGGCCGGCATGGAAGTAGAATGCTAACTTTCAGGGTTTAGGATGTAAAACCCCCAATGGCGACTCACATGGAGACCCCAAGGTTGCCTCCTAGACCCAGGCCTGGTTCTGGGAGCCTCTTGGGTTCCCCATCTCCTGTGTGCACCACCAGCCTCCCCAGGCACTCACCTTGGATGATACTGGGCGCTTTGAACTTTGCTCCCATGGGGAGGGCCTACTGAGATGTGGCTCAGACCAGGAACCCATAGCACCCTAGTGGGCCTCTTGTCCCTCAGGGAAGGACGGGGCAGGACAGGAGCACCACCCAAGATCCATGATACCATCAGGTCGGGCATACGGGTGGTGGGGGCCGGCCAGATGCAGTGGCCGAATGCCCGGCAGCCAAGTGGGTTGCTAGGTGCGACACTGTGTATATCAACAAGGCCGTCTGCCTCCCTCGCAAACAGCTTCTGGCAACCCTGTGCTAGGCTGCCGGGCCAGCCCCCCTTCAAGACCGTTCTCTGCTGCTTGGGGGGCCTCAGGGATGAGGGGAAGCAAAGCTGGAACTGGCTGCCCGCCCGGGCAAGCACCTCACACAGGTAAACAGCTGTTTCCTGCGACTGCAGCGGCTGAGCCAGAGAGAGCTTGGGCCTGTTCCCTGGCTGGCTCAATGGGATTTCTCACAGGGCTGCCTGGGGTCTGAGCCGGGGGGCCCTGCCCACCGAGACACCACCCGCTGGGACCTCTCCCCGTCCTGTAAGTCCTGATGTCCTGGACACAAAGCCCCCTAACCCCTCTTTCAATGTCTCCCATGTCCCTGCTCTGTGCCCGTACCAGGCCTCGGTCCCACTCTGAGGTGGGCTGAACACATGGTGCGTGTCCACAGAACATGCCAGCCCCACACAAAACCTCATCCCAGTCCAGCCGCCAGCTCCCAGGCCCACACGAGCCAGGCAGCCTCGGTGTCACCTCCTGTGCAAACAAGTGTCTGAGCCACAAGGAGAAGGGCATGCAGACACAATAGTAGGACTGGGATAGCAAGTCCCTCACAACTACCCCCTCCCTTTGCACCCTTCCACAATGGCCCCCATCTCTGTCCACTTTGCTGGAGGACTCTCAGCTTTTGCGGCACAGCCCTCAGCTCTGGAGTGGTAACCTTGTGGGGATACTGATCTTTTTGGAGGGTCCCAGGTGGAGCTGCTGGGAACCTTGGTGGCACAATGGTTAAGTGCTCAGCTGTTAACCAAAGGTTGATGGTTTGAACCCATCCAGTGGCTCTTCAGGAGAAAAGACCTAGAGATCTGTTCCCATAAAGTTACTGCCAAGAAAACCTGGGGCAGTTCTACTGTGTCCAATGGGGCTGTTGTGAGTAGGAATCGACTCGACGGCACCCAGTAACAATGCGGAACTGTGCAGAAAAGGTTAACCCTGTCCAGACCACAGAGAGATGGGGCTCTTGATCTGCCTCTGTGAGGTGACCTCTTAGTCCCTGGAGGTCATGCTTGAAGAATCTTCATTTATCTGGGGCTTGGGTCATCCTAGATGGTCTATGCCAACAGCAGGATGCGTGGTAAGTTATATGTTACCTGGGCCACGTGGTATCACCTCAACCTCTGGAGGGGTTGGAGACTGAAGTCAACAACGAAGGTGGTCAGCGATGCCTATGTGACTGACCCCCAGTAAAAACCCTGGACACAAGGGCCCACAGGAGCATCCCTGGGGGGTAATACCTGTGCTGTCAAACATCGATGCAGGGAGCAGTACTATCCATAAGCCCATTGGTAGAGGATACTTGGACGCTTGCACTGGTCACTCCTGGACTCTGCCCCATGTGCCCCCAGTAACCTGCCCATGTGCCCCTGGTAATCTACTTTCTGTCTACACATTTGCCTATTTTGACACTTCATATAAATAGGATGATACGTTATGTGGCCCTTTTGTGTTTGGTTTCTTTCAGTAAGCATAATGTTTTCAAGGTTCATCCATGTCACAGCATACATCAGAATCTCATTCCTTTTAAATATGGCTCAGCAGGGGTCCTGGGTGGTACAAATGGTTAACTTGCTCAGTTGCTAATCAAAAGATTGGGAGTTCAAGACCCTCACAGGCTCCTTAGAAGAAAGGCCTGATCATCTACTTCCAAAAAATCAGCTAGTGAAAACTCCATGGGGCACAGATCTACCCTGACACACACGGCGTCACCATGAGCCAGAGTCAATTTGACGGCAACTGGTTAATATTCCATTGTGGAATGCACCACGTTGTGTTTATCCATCATCTGTTGATGGACATTTGGGTTGCTTCCACCTTTTGGTTATTGTGAAAAATGCTGCTATGAACCTTTGTGTACACATTTTTGTGTGGACATATGTTTTCATTTCTCTTGGGTATATACCTAGGAGTTGAATTGCTGGGTCACATGGTAATTCTATGTTTAAGTTTTGAGGAGCTGCCAGACTGTTTTCCACAACGGCTACACCATGTTACATTCCCACCAGCAATGGATGAGGATTCCAATTTCTGTACATCCTTGCCAACACTTGATGTCTTCCATTTTTCTGATGCTAGCCATCATAGTGGGGGTGAAGTGGTATCTCACTGTGGTTTTGATTCGCATTTCCCTGATGACTAATGATGTTGAGCATCTTTTCATGTGCTTGTTGGCTATTTGAGTATCCTCTTTAGTGAAATGTCTATTTAAGTCCTGTGCCCAGTTTTAATTGGATTGTCTTTTTCTTGTTAAGTTGTAAGAGTTCTTTGTATATTCTAGATCTTTACCAAATATAAGGTCCCCATGTATGTTTTCTATCCTGTTGGGCTGCTGCTTCACTTTCTTGATCGTGTCCTTTGATGCTCAGTTTGTAACTTTGCTGACATCCAATTTATCTTTCTTTTGCTGCTTGTGCTTTTGGTGTCATATCTGAGAATCCATGACCACATCCAAGGTCCTGAAGCTTTGCCCCAATGTTTTCTTCTGAGTTTTACAGTTTTGGCTCCTACATTTAGGTCTCTGATCTATTCTGAGTAGATTTTTGTTGGTAACTGTGTTGCTGCCTTGGTCCTGCCCACCCCTGGCCCCCAGGATGTCTGCAGGCTCTGTGGTGGGGGCCCTGACTGCCCCCCGGCACACTGGAGCCCCTCGACAGGGAGGGAGTAAACGGATGGGGGTGCTGTGGACGCCCCCGCCACACGGGCTCCAGCTGAGTCGTCTGAGACGCTGCACAGCTGCCCGTTGTTGGCCCGGAGCGTGTAAACACAGCACAAACACAAACACACCATGCGTCGGAATGCCTTTAATCAGGCCCACTGCCGCCGCTGCCAAGTTTTGGAGCTCAGGGAGCAGAGCGTCTGCGCAGAGCACATTTTGTTCCCCTTGCTGGTGGTGGCGCTCAGAACAGACGTGAAGCCGTGTGGCCGAGATGTGCAGGGGGCCCCAGAGTGAGTGAGGCCAAAAGAGCTCACGAGGGGCCCCACCTGAGAGGAAGACCCGGCCCTCAGCCACTTGAGTGCCGAGGAGCCCTGAGATGAGGGAGACCCAGCTCCGCCCCCCTTACAGGCAGAGAAACTGAGGCATGGAGGGACAACGGGCTTGGCTGAGGTCGCCCAGCACTTGGGGTCTGGGTGATCCTCCAGACTCCTGCCCTGTGCAGAAGTCTCTCTCTTTCCGTCTGCATCTCTCTGTTTCTCTGTCTCTCTCGATCTGTCTCTATTTCTGCTTTGCCTCTTTCTGTCTCTGTTTTTCTCTCTCGATCTGTCTCTGTCTCTAGTTCTGTCTCTCTCTTCATCTCTCTGTCTCTGTCACTTTGGCTTTCTTATTTTCACTAGGCAAAGAACTTTATTAACCTTTGTTTAAACTTGGTTCCCAGGCTCATCAGCTCACTTGGCTGCGAAGAGAACCGTGTGGAATTCAGCGGAACCTGGAAGCAGCCACAGCGTCCAAGGGGCTTGGCTCAGACGCAGGAGAGATCTGGATTCAGAAGCAGAGCCATTTCAAAGTCCTCCTTGTGCAGAGCCACAGCTCAGGTACCTTCTCCAACTGCTCTCTGCTTTAGGGGCCAACTCTACTTCCTTGTTCTTGGGGGTCCCTCTGCTACTAGCTCCAGTCCGTGGCATCCCCTATGGGTCAGGCCCCTGCCACCCATGCTGTCCCTGTCTAGGCAAGCATTGCCCTCCTGGCTCTGAACTATTTGCTAGGCTGGCCCAGCCTTGCCCCATTCTCTCTTCCTAGGGCTCCCCAAACCAGAGCCAGAGTCGGCCTGCATCCTCCTCTGCTGGGCCCTGTCCTGCCTGCCCTCACCCAGAACTTGAGAGTCCCTATCACCTTCCCTGACCATCCAATCTCAGGGTCCCTGTCGTCCCCTCTCCAGACATCACCTCAGAGTCCTCATCCACGCTGACAGTCCCCACCCCCCGAATGTCCACCCCTGGAACCTGTATTTTTGGAGAACAGAGTCAGCCCACTGCATGTTGCCTGAGCTGACCTGCAAAGGGACCCAGACACCGTATGGTAGACAGACCGGTCTGGCAGCCATTGTTTTCTGATCCTCTGCCTGACCCCCACTCCCACCAGGCCCAGCCTCCCGCCTGGCCTCTGCTTGCCACCCCGCCCTGGGAGTGTCCCACACCTTGTGTCTCCTGTACCTCCTGGGCTCCCTCAGCAAGCTACCTGAATCGAGAAGTCAGTTTTGTTTTCAACCCTGAGCCCCGCTGT